CCGGAGAAAAACCAAAAAAAAAAAAAAAAAAAGATGTCAGACCAGATCCTGCCCAGTCCCTTCCCTAACCAAAGAAAACTCAACACCCAGGGCAACCAAACGGCAACTCCAGAGTCCTTCAGGGTGAGTTAGTCTGTCCTCCTTGCAGGGGTCTCTGGTTGTTGGAACATGGAACCCGAGGGCCTTAATCCCTGTGAGGGGCAGGAGGAAAAGGGAAGTAGAACCAGCCAGAAATTGTATAGAAGTAGGAAGTGTGGGCTGCCCTCACACCCCCTGCTCACCTGGCCTGTCTAAGAAGCCAGGAAGAGCTTTGGAGCTCTGCTCACCAATCATCCTCTGCCCTGGTAGGGACAGACCCTGTGTCATGCTGCCCAGGCCACAGGCACCAGCCGACAGCGTCACACCTCAGCCAGTGTGATTCTCCTCGGGGCTAAGAGGCGCAGCAACTGCTGACCCCGTAAGGGCCACGAGTCTGCAGGAAGGGTCGAGCCTGAGTCCTGCAATCCCACCCACGGCTGCCAGGAGGCAGCAGAGCGCTCTATGCGCCAAAGATGCAGTTCCGCCCGTGGTCACTGGGGGCGATAGGGCTCTCCTCCCCGCAGCTTTGTAGAACCAGGATGGCCCGAAGTTGTCCTTGGGGCTGGAGTCGGGAGGATGTAAGGGGTGGTGGGCATCCGTGGGCGGCGAAGGTTTCTTCCCGGAGCCGGCTAAGACACAGCTTGAGCTGCACCTGTGCTCTTAACGGCCCTCTGCCCTGCCTCCACCGCGCTGTTGCTGATGCTGCTGGCCCGGCCCGGTTCTGGGCCAGGACTGGCCACTGGGGCTGGCGCTTGGTTCCCGCAAAGTGTAATATTCAGAGGGGAAGATTCCAAGGGAGATGCAGGGGACCTCTGAGGAACATGCGGGCCCGCGCACTGGTGTGAAGGGGCAGCGCAGGTGGCGTGGGTGGGAGTTGCTGAGGAGGGGACAGGAAATGGGGTATAGGAAGGGAATCGCGTAAAACCATTTCCAGCGTCCCTTGGTGAGCACCCCGTTGTCTCACACTGGCCTCGCAGGCACCTCTCCAGCCCCCCACACCCCACCCTTCGCCTTGTGCCCTCACTCGGAGTAACCACAGCTAACATGGATGGAGCCCTTGCTCTGTGCTAGCCTCAGGTCCAAATACTTCATTACCTTTCTTCCTCAAGACAATCCCGCGAGGGAGGTGCCATCATGATGCCCACTTGCAGATGACTACACTGAGGCCGGAGAGGTTCAGTGACGCGTCCAGGTCACACAGGCAGCGGTACGACAGCATTTGAGCTAAGCGCTCTGGCTCGACCGTCTCAGCACCCCCTGCTGCCCTCGCTTCGGGCCCCACGATGGCAGAGAAGACAGGGCTGGAAGTCCAAATGATACGTTCCTTTCCCTGCCTCCCCTTCCCTGCTCTCTGTCTTGGGCAGCCTCAGTCGTCCAGGACCAAGACCAGGGTGGCCAGCAGTGGTGGCCGGAGCAGAGACTGGTTCCGAGGCTACGCCGCTTGCCGGAGCCCCTGGTGACCAGCGGATGGAGCAAGACCCTGCGCTGACTGCGCCTGCACCTCGGCCTGTGGCCGGGCCTTGGGTGCCGACTGAGAACCAATGGGAGAGGTGGGGGGGCGCTGTCACTGACAGGGTGGGGAGCAGCGCCCCCTGATCAGCAATCACTCGGCTAAAGTTCCTCCTATAGAAACCTTTCAGTTGGACAAGGCCTATTTCTAGTTCTACACCTGTTTCCAATTCCGTCATCTCACTTATTATCTTCATCACCCTGAACTGTCTCCACCACCTGTCACACTGTCCCGTCACCCCTCATCGCACTCGACTGACTGACTGATGGGTGGATTGTAGTAGTGGAGACTGAACCCAGGGCCTTTGCACTGAACTGCATCCCAGCCTGCCCTTTTATTTCATCTGTTTCTTTTCTCTTTTTCTTTTTTTTGAGGTGATCCCCCTGCCTCGGCCTCCCAATCGCTGGGATTACGGGTGTGTGCCATCATGCCCGGCAACCTTCCATTTCATTCTGGTCACTGCTCTCCTCTCTTATCCCCTTCTACTGTCACTCTGATCTCTCTAAATCTTGTATAACAGGAAAATTATCAATAAGCGGAACACTGGGAAACAACCTCAGTGTAGGACAATATGGAACTGACTTATGCCCTGTATTTAATATAGGGTTGACCTAAATTGTCATGAATTTATACAGTGAAATAATCCTAAGGCAGCAAATATTTCAGCACTTGTCTCTGCCAGGATCGGCCATGCCAGTGGCAACAAATACTGATGGTGAGTTTACTTTTTACCCCACTGGTCCCCTTCCAGTGGCAGTGAAATGACAGTGGCCATGTAGGAAATGGAACGCATCCACACCAGAGTTTAGAATGGATAAGGAGGTGGGGGGTGCTTCTAGCATCTTCTACAATTAAACCCCTGACTCTTCATACCAAATATGGACAATCAGAGCTCATCAAATATTTTTTTTCACCAAATATTTGAAGGAAATTAGCAGTATGAAGGAGATAGACCAAGATCAACAACCTGATCAGATGATCCCAGAGGAAATCAGAGAATAGAAGACACCTTCCAAGGCTGGGCGTGGGTGTGCACACCGGTAATCCCAGCACTCTGGGAGGCTGAGGCAAGAGGACTGCAAATTGGGAGACCAGCCAGGGCAACTAAACAATGTAGCAAGTCCCTGTATCACAATTAAAAAAAAAAAATTAAGCCGGGCATGGTGGCGCACACCTGTAATCCCAGCACTTTGGAGGCTGAGGCAGGAGGATTGTTTCGAGTTTGAGACCAGCCTGGGCTATAAAGTGAGCTCAAGGCCAGGCTGAACTGCATAGCAAGACCTGTCTCAAAAAGACAAAAGAAAATTAAGAGGACGGGTGGGGTGTGGGTGGGGCAGGGATGCAGCTCAGTGGCACAAGGGCCTGCCTGGCATGGGCAAGGTCCTCAGTTTGACCTATGGTACGAAGAAAAAAAAAAAAAAAAGAAAGACAGGGGATGTAGCTCAGCGGGAAGGCCCTGGCTTCAATCCCCAGTATCAAAAAAGAAAGGGGAGGGAAGATAACTTTCAAAGAGTTTAAGTAACTCAATTCACAACAGCAAATACCAAACACTGGCCTGCATGCGGGGCAGCAGGATCCCTCCAGCGCTGCTGGTGGGGATGTGAAATGTGAGAACTGCTTTGGAAAAGTTCGGTAGCATTTGAAATAGTTAAATGTAAACTTCCCACATGGCTGAGCCACAGTTTAGAGGCATAAAGCCCTTTCCCCGGTAGCCTCACACTGGAAATAGCCCGTGTCCCATGGAAGACTACCCAACAATAAAAAGGAATGAACTGCTGATGCGTGCACCAGCGGGATGGATGGACAGTGTACGGCCAAGTCTGGGGACCTCTTCCCACGAGTCCCGACCCTGCCCCACATCCCCTTAGCCCCGGGGCGACACCCGTACCCCTGGAGGCCTGGCCTGGCTCCTGTTCATAGGACGCACCGTTCCAGGCCAAGAGGCCCTCAGCTCCGGCGTAATAGGGAACCTCACGGACCAGTGAACGCGGACAGAGAGATGACCTCACCCCTGAACAGCTTGTTTCCAGCTTCCTCGTTCTCTGCCCCGTTTCTAAGCCCTCTACTCTGGAGGAGCGCTGTCCTGGCACCTCCGAGCCAGCAGCCCCTCTCAGGGCTTTATCTCAAATAAAGCCTGTCCTTGCTGAAGTCTCTCTTTTTGTTTGTTTTGAGACAGGCTCTCACTATGTAGTTCAGGCTGGCCTTTAACTCACTTATAGAGCCCAGGCTGGCCTCAAACTCACGGTGATCCTCCTGCTTCAGCCTCTTGAGGGCTGGGATTACAGGTATGCACCACCATGCTGGGCCTCTCTAGTTTTTACAAAAAGTACCAAGGTAAGGAAGCCAGACTCCTGGGGCCCCTGTTCTGTCTGAATTCCTGGGATCAGGGCGTGGTATTCCCACGCACCCTTGGCAATTTAAACGGAATCCCAGGGATCAGACATGGCATCCAGGGACACTGGGATTAACCCAGGAGTTTGAAACAGATCCCTAGGTCAGAAAGAACCAAGTGGACACCATCAGCAGCAGTGTACTACAAGGGGGAGGATGCCGAAGATGTTTCTTAGGAAGGAAAGAAAAATCCAATATTCTGTGTTAAATAAGGCAAATTCAAATCTGGCATTATTTTGAAAAATTGAGAGAATCCATTCTATCTTGATAACTAGAATAGTCCTTCCTGAATAATTTAGGTTTACTGATATGACTGTATTTTCTAGTGGTCACATTAGGTTTATAATGAATAATACTTGTATAACTATAACTGTGTGAATGTTTTATTAGTTTCTTCCTCCCCTATCCTTTTTGTTTTTTTTTTTTTTGAGACAGGGCCTTGACATGTAGTTCAGTCAGGCCTTGAACTTGTAGTGATCCTCTTGTCTCAGCCTTCTGAGTACTGGGATGCACCACCATACCTGGCTCCCTCCCCCATTCTTGAAGACTTGTGTTTTATGTATTACTATTTTTTTGAGACAAGGTCTCACTATGTAGTCCAGGCTGGCCTTCAACTAGTGTGATCCACCTGCCTCTGCCTCTGCCTCCTGGGTATGTGCTGGGATGATAGTTGTGTGCCACCAGACCCAGTTATATTAATTTAAAGCCACACATCAGTGGCTTTTATATCAGAGAAAGGATTCTTCTAAGTCAGCTTTAGAAGAGTGAATTGGCAGGGGGATGCTTCTCAGATGTCACAGTGAGCCCGTCCTCTCTCCCACATGCCCACTGCTCTCTGGGTTCACATGCAGCCTGGGGCTCTGGTTGGCAAAACTCCAGGCAGGGTCCATGTAATGCTCCCGGGCCAAGGCAGTGAGAACATAATGTCCTCTAATTTTCTGTCTTTAGCTCTGAGTGCATCCCAGAACTTTCCGTCTCTGCCAAGGCTGGGGAAATGTGGTCAGCCTTCCATATTCACGGGTATGCATCTGAGGATCCAACCTACCATGGATCAAACATATTTGAAGAAAATTATGTCTGTACTGAACACACACAGACTTTTTTCCTTGTCATTATCTACATCTGCACAGCTTACACTGTTATTAGGTGTAATACAGTGTAATGATTTTTTGCTTTGTATTCTTTTAGACAGGATCTTGCTATGTAGTTCAGGTTGGCCTCAAACTAAGGAAGCTCCTCCTACCTCAGCCTCCCAAGTGCTGAGATTACAGGATAAGCATGTGCCAGCACATGCCTGGCCTAAATCAGAAACTCTTTAACTGTTTCACTTGGAACGGACCCAGGATGAAGCGAGACTCATTTTTCCTGAGTTCTATTCAGTTCCCGTGAATTTTTAAAAACACATGCATGTTACTTTTATAATAATGCATTCAGGGTGTGTGAAAACTAAGTTAATCCACCTATTGGCTTAACATAGTTCTAGGTGTGGGTAATAGGAAGGGCCACCTTGGGTGTGGGTGGCACCAACCAATAGGCTTGAAGCCTGAATGGAATAAAAGGGGAAGGGAGGCTTTCTGCTTCCTGCATGCCATGCTGTGGACTGTTTCTCCTGAGCCAAGCCCCTCTGCCCTGCTGCCCTGCCTTGGGGCCAGCTGACTATTAAATATTTAAACTGTGAGCTAAAATACTTTTCCTCCTTTCACTTATGAGTATCTGCTATTTTGTCCCAGCAATGAGAACACCCCCAAAATTTCAGATTTCAGTGCATTTTCAGATTAGGAATGCTCAGCCTGTACTACTATTGCACTGAGATACAATATTCTCAGCCCAGTCCATGGCCGCTGCCCAGGCACAACTGCAGACATGCAGTTACTCAGAAGATGCTCCTGCCCACACACGACCCCCTTCTGGGAAAGTCCAGGATGGTTGGGTCCTGCTGCTGCAGAGAGCAGTCCGTGGTCCCACAGGTGTCTTTGCACACAGTACTGAAACTGGACCGCTGCCAGGGCATCTTCTAGTGACCTGGAGTCCTCTCCTCCCACCACTCTGTGGTACGATCAGTGCCTTCCTGTGGCCCTCAGGGCTCCTTACAGACTGGACAGGAGATGCCCAGCTGGGCCATGCGAGAGCAGTCCTCTTCCCATTTAGTGACACCAGGAGGCACGGATGTCAGGAAAGGTCTTCCAGGATAGAACCAAGACCTTTACAGAGGTTATGTCTGCAAAGGGTTGGCTGGGAATAATTATTTTATTATTTTTTCAAATGCGTGAATATTTGTGAAGTGCTTAATTTTTTTGTTGTTCTGTTTTTCTTCCGGTACTGCGAATCGATCTCATGACCTTGTGCTTGCCAGGCAGGTGCTGTGCCACTGAGCTAAATCCCCAGCCCCTGAAGTGCTTAATTAAGGCAGTAACTAGCAGATGCTTCACTGCTATAAAAATAACTCATGTTAAATACGTCTGTTTCCTAATTTTCCTATAATAGACATATTACTTAGATAAGGAATGATAGAAGTAACTTTTTGGGGGTACTAGGAATCAAATTCAGGACCTCATGCTTGCCAGGCAGGCATTGCACAGCTGAGCTAAATCCCTGGCCCCAATAAAAGTAATCTGTAAAAACCTCTGGGTCCATTAAGCCAAAGAGAAAGAGGCTTTTTACTTAAAAAAAAAAAAAAAAAAAAATCAACAGGCTTAATGGCTAGATTCAGAAAATGGAGCCCAAGGAACCAGACCTGCCTCTGAGTGTCCAGGGTTACATGGCTTCCAGAGGGGGCACCCACAGGCTGCGGGGGGAGGAGGAGGAGGGAGCTTCTCTGCAGAAGCGCCGGAAACACCCCCTTCTCACACTGGGCTTGCACAGAGAGGCCGTGACCTGATTTCTAAGTCAGATCTTTATTCTGCAAGTTCCTTCCTGACAGTGCAGCCACTGCACGGACAGCTTACAATGAGAGCTCCCGAGAGCAAGCGGGTGTCCAGCACTCAGCTTCCGGAAGCTTCTCCAGCCATGAAGCAGGAGCCGGGAGGCCAGCCTGCTCCTCTTTGGCCTCTTTAGGGTCACGAAGAAGACCGTGCAGAGGGCTGCCCTCAGGACTGCAGGGCTCCTCAGCAATGTTCTGAGTCCCCGGGGCGGCAGGATGGACGGGGAGTCACCCCGGAGGCCCAGCACAAGGGGCTGTGGCCCGCACTCAGCTCCCCTGGGCTGGCTTAGCCAGGGGCTCCAGGCTCAAGCCGAGGCCCACGCCACTCCATGCCCTCCACGCCAGCCCAGCTGTCATCGGCCCTCAAAGTGGGCTGCGATTTGTTCCAGAGTCTTTCCTTTGGTTTCGGGGACACAGAACCAAGAGAAGAGGACACTGCAGATGCAGAAGGCGGAGGCGAGCCAGAAGGTGCCATGGGGCCTGAGGACAGCCTGCAGAGAGGGGACAGAGTCGGCATGTGGCTGTCGGGCAGGAGGTCCCCACGCCAACCCCAGCCTGCCCGCCAGTGCCATGCTGATTGCGTCTCCACCCGGCTCAGCAGAGGACAGTCTGGACCCCGCCCGCTGCCTGGCTAAGTACCAGCCAAGATGTCTGTGTGGTACCGCTGGGGAGACTGAGACTTATGTCAATGAAGTGAATGTCAAGGGACGCCCGAGATCCTGCTCCTGGGACCCTGCCCCAGAGGCTCCTCTCACGGTGCCAAGGGACAGGGGAGCTGCAGGGTGTCCCTATGGGCAGAGGGCACAGCCTCAGGAGCACCTGGGGACACCCAGGGCCCCGTGGCACACAGGGAGAAGTGAGCAGTCCCTGCGGTCAGAGCTGTCACCCTCCAGGTGCCCGACCAAAGGCCCTGCCCTCCTCAGCTCCTCCTCTATGCGCCTGAAGCTCTTCCTGTGGCCTCCTGACTGGGCATGTCCCTGGGGCATACTGGGTCCTTTGTCTCCTCCTTCTTGGCTTCTTTCCCTCTCTCCTTCACTGCCCACCCCTCCCAGTCCCTCCCGAGCGGGTCCCAGGCTCCCACAGACTCCAGGGCTTTCATCGACCCCCCACCCACCACAGCCTAGCGCCTCCCTGGCCCTCCCTGTGAAAGGGACCCTGTCCATCTCAGTCCCTGCCCGCCCGGACATGCTGGGCACCAGCAGGCTTGGTGGGAATGCACCCCGAGCGACTTGCACATCTGCTCCAGGACCGCCCTGTTGGCCAGGAAGCGGTGGGAAGGGCCCCATCTGTGTTGTCCTCAACTGGAAAAATGACCAACTGAGTCCATGTTTCTGTCAACCTTAAGGTCCTGCTCCCGTCTTCCGCCTCCAGCCAGGAGGCTGGTTCAGAGGGGTTGTCACCAGCAAGATGGTGGCTGGGGCTCACTGGTGGGGGAAGCCAGCCATGCTGTGCTCCCAGCGAGGAGACTGAAGACCCCTGAAGTGTCACAGCCTAGGTTCCTGGCCATCTGTCCCCACTTCACCACATCAAGACACTGGCATCCCTGGCCTGTGGGGCCCCAGGCTGCAGGCAAGGCATTAGAGCCTGCGTCTTTTGTAACCAACGCTTCTCTGCTGACTGCCCGAGGGGGTGGCCACGGGCCGCACTTACCATGAGGTTGCTGAACTCTTTTGTCACCAGAAAGGCCATGAGCCAGTTGGTGAGGACGCAGATGCTGGTAGCCACACCCTTGACGTGCAGAGGGAAGATCTCAGACATGAGCAGCCAGGGGATGGGCCCCCAGCCCAACGCGAAGCCTGCAGAGCAAGGCGACGTCAGGGCTCCAGGGTGCGCTGCAGAGTCAAGGGGAGCCAGCTACCCCACCAGCGGGCACGGGGTCCTGGATTCCTGGTCCCAGCAGCTCTGCGCCCTCCTGCTAGGAGGCGCTGGCCAGTTGCTGGCCTCCCTAGGCACCAGGCCTTGTCTCTGGGACAAGGATGGAGTTGCTGCGGGGCTTGGTCTTTTCACCACAGAAGGGCTTGGTGCAGAGCTGCCTCAGAACTATAAACCCAGAGGCCGGGATCCTCAGCATAGAGAGGTAAGGCCGAGTAGGATCCAGCGGAGCCGGGTCTCGGGACTGACAAGGACCGGGGCCCTCACCCCGCCGCCTGGGGACCCTTCTCACCCACCGGCAATGAACACGCACATGCTGCCCACAGCCAGCCAGGCCAGCCCCACGCTGGTGTCCACAGGCTCCGAGGGGACAGGCGCCAAGAGGTCCGCGTGGGAGGAGTTGCTGGAGCCGCTCTGGGTCAGCTTGAAGTAGGTGCCGAAGGCGCTGGTGCTGAACACCATGACCACACCTGTGGGGGTCGGGGTGGGCAGGGCACCGGGGTATGTGGCCCAGGGGCAGCCTCCCCCCACCGCAGCGAGGCCTGGGTACCTCTGAGAGAGGCAGGCTGGGCTCCCTAAGCATGGCTGGCTGAACATCCTGGCACTGTGCCACGGGATCCCTGACTGGGCGGCTTCTCCCACCCCGCACGGGGCCTTAGCCATCCGGGGAAGCTTCGGAGCAGCCTCCCTTCATACCCAGCCTGCGCGGGCAGGAGCAGCTAGCGCACCGCACCCCGCGCCATGCGACCAGGCCGAGCCTCGTGTGGCCCATGGGCAGATCACCTCCCGATCCACACCACAGTCCTAAGAGAGCTCTTGCCATTCCCCCACCAGAGCGGGAAACTGAGGCTCGGAGAAGGCGCTTGCCCAAAAGGAACGCAAGTTCGGAGTCACTCCACCCCCGCGCCCTCAGCTCTGTTCCCACGGAGCCCTGGAGCCCTGACAGCCAGTCCTGCAGGTCTGCTGAGGAAGAACTTGTAGCTCAGCACAGAGATGCTATTAAGACCCAGCCTCGCCAGCTGTGACCTCGCCCTAAGCAACGCCCGGCCGGCTTTGTGTACCGTGGTGGCCTCCGGCAGGGGGCATTCCGTGCAGGGCTGAGCCCTCGTGTCTCACCTGACAATGTCAGGAGCAGCCTCCGCCCTGCTCTGTCCATGATGAGGGCTGCCACGCCTGTGAACAGCACCTGGATGGCGCCCATGATGACCGATGCCAAGCTGCTGTCCTGGGGGACACAGGGGCGGGGCTGTTCAGGGGCCTCCCAGAGACAATCCTGGCATTCTCTGCTCCTGTGCTGGGTGACAAGGCCCTGAGCTCCAGGTGTCGGACCCACCCAGGTGGCATCTGGATGAGGCAGGTTGGGCGAGGCCTCTGACCTTGAACTTGGCCTCCTCAAAGATGGTTTCTGCATAGAACATGACAGCATTGACGCCGGACAGCTGCTGGAAGGCCATCAGTGAGATGCCGATGATGAAGGGCTTGTAGACACCTGGGTGCCTCAGCAGGGCCAGTTGGAAGCCCTGCTCCCAAGCAGACAAGGGAGAGGGCTGTCAGTGTCTCCTCACCCTGTCCCCAGGGCCTCTTTCTGAGCCAAGGTCCTAAAGCTCAATGCAGGGGCCTCGGCTTCCTGTCCCTACCCACCCTGGCCCCAGGTGTGCAGAAAAACCTTGTGTATATGGCGAGACTCCTTGCTTCCCCCACGGACAGGTTCCAGCACTTGGGCAAAGAACACTCTGTTCTCTGAGTCCCAGTCCCCTTCAACACACCCAGGGCTTACCCTGCACCAGGCCCTGGCCAAGTCCCTCCCATGGGCCTTTGCTTCGCATCTCAGCACCACGGGTGTGTGCTGGATCCCAGCGTACAAAAGAAACTCAGGCTCCACAGAGCCAGGGAGTGCAGCGTCTCCACAATCCAACTGACTCCACAATCTCGACTACTCTTTTTGTTCTTTTGTTTTTTTGAGATAAGATCTCACTATGTAGTTCAGGATGGCCTTGAACTCCTGACGAAGCCCTGTTGGCCTCACACTCAAGGTGATCCTCCTGCCTCAGCCTCCTGAGTGCTGGGATTATAGAGGTGTGCCACCACACCTGCCACCAACCAGACTCTTAACCTTTCTGTCCTACCATTCCCTGGTTAGGTCTAAGTCCTCCATGCTGCATCTATACGGCCCCTGCCCAGGGGGGGCTTTCTCTTCCTGGGACAAGAGGAATCAAGGCTCGATGACCTGAGGCTAGGGACCAACCAGATGGGGCTCCAGCCCAGCACGGGTCCCCACGGACGCTGGCCCTCCCCCACAGCATGTGGCTTTGAGACTAGGCCATGCCACCCGCCCCTGGCCCACCCCTGCTGGTCCCCCAGCTGCAGCTCCCAGTCCCTCACCTGATGCTCAGCCATGACGGGGGGCTCTTCCCAGCCCTCATCAGAGCCCCACAGGAAGCACATGGCGGCCCTGGCCTCCTGGTGCTTGTGCCGAGTCAGGAGGAAGCGCGGCGTCTCGGGCATGCAGCACATGAGCAGCAGCATGAGGGTCGGGGGCCCGCAGCCCAGCACCGCCAGCCAGCGCCACTCCAGGACCCAGCCTGCGGGGACAGAGTCAGAGTTGGGGGAGCCGGCTGCCCTCCTCTCCACCCCAGGGCTCAGCTTGAGAGGTGGGGACCTCACCACCTCCGCAGGTCATCCCTGTGACTGTCATGACCGTTACTGCTCGTCACACAGACGTCCCGGGCCAGCAGCTACAGCCGCTGCAGCAATGGTGGTGGGACATCACCATGCAGTCAGTGACACAGCCCTGATCCACACTGGGATGCTTCGGTCCGAGACCGACCGCATATATGACAGTGGTCCCCTAAGATCACAAGGGAGCAGATGAAAAATTCTGATGACTGCTCAATGTGTCGTGGCTATGGTAACATCAAGCCTAAATGCATTACGTGCGTGGCGGCACAGGTGCAAACAAACTACCCGCTGCCAGATGTGTAACAGCTCCACGCATACAATGATGTCCAATACATAAGACTTGATCATGATAAGAAATGACTACTATCGGTTTATGTATGTGCTATACCCTATTTTTTAAAACCATATTTTAGAGTGTACTCCTTATAAAAACATTTACTAGCCAGGTACATTGGCACACACCTATAATTCCAACTACTTGGGAGGCTGAGTCAGGAGGATTTCAAGTTCAAGGCCAGTCTGGGCAACATACTGAGATAATTGTAAAAGGGCTGGAGATACAGCTCAGTGGTAGAGCGCTTGTATAGCATAGGGCTCAATCTCAGTACTGCCAAATAAATACATAGCACATCCCTGTTACACAACACGTGACTTTAAGCAGCCATGAGACAAAGGGTGAGGAGCTGGTCCGTAGTCACCATGGTACTGGCACGGACAACAGAGCAGGGCTGCGTGGAGGGTAAGGGGTGGGAGCGCAGACATGTGTATTTCTCATGCATGTGTAGCCTCTCTGGAGGCCACCAAGACACAGGCCATGCTGGCTGTTCCGGGAAGGATCAGGACAGAGTGGGGGAACTTTTCCCGGCTCTCCCCTCTGTGCCTGTTTCAATGGGTTAAAAAAGTACAAGTGAAATAAAAGAGCTGGTGGGGTTCTGGTGTCTTGATGATATAAATGCAAGAAAGATCAAATGCAGAATGATCTGGACTTACACAAAGCCCAAGGGTTCTTGGACAAAGGGGCCCAGGAGTCAATCAACTCGGTACTGTCTCTCCAGTTTTTAATTTTTCCTAAACCTCAGGGCTTACCTATCCCCACTTCCTGGAGAAAATAGCTCAGTGATAGCCATGAAGTGCCTGTTTTTCTTTTGTGTTTGGGACAAGGTGGGATGTGAGATTATGTGTACATACTTGCTTTATTTAAAAAAATTTTTTCTTTTACTTGTTTTAGTAATAGGGTGTACCTAAGTCATAGCTGCTCCACAAAGTCTAGTTACTGAAGCATTACTGCTCCGAATAGAAGCAAACGAATCACCGCATTACCTCGTGGGTGACAGAGTTAACTTATACCCATGGAGCAAAACTCAGAAGTTGATCACTTGTCAGGCATGGTGGCACACACCTGTAATCCCAGCACTTAGGAGGCTGAGGCAGGAGGATCGTTGTGAGTTCGAGGCCAGCCTGGGCCACAAAGTGAGCTCAAGGCCAGCCTGAACTGCACAGCGAGACCGTCTCAGAAAGACAAAAAAACCCACAAAAAACAAAAAACAGAAACAGCAGTAGCAGGTGTAGATGAAGGAGACCTGCAGATAGTGCCGTGGGTGGGAGGACATCTGAGTTTCTGTCCCTCAAACCAAGAACGTCACAGGGACGTCAACACCTGCCCATGGGAGGGCTCAGGCTCACAGTAGGGCTTCCAAGACAGCCAGGGTGCTGGCAGGACTCTGACCTGGGATGGTAATCTGGTAAAGAAGGAAAGGCCAGAGAGCTTCATGTCACCCACTCTGAAGATCCAGAGGGCACGAGTCCCAGGCTGGGCCACAGCCCGTCAGGCGCCTGGATGCCTCGGGCCCCCACGACTCTCAGGTCGTCCTTGACAGTTCTCACCTGGGGCTTGCTACCAGGCCGTCTCCTGTGCCACTCTGCCTACTTCCCCAGCAGCCGTGCACTAGGCATGGTTCTCTCTAGTTGTCCTTTTTTTTTGGTACCGGCAATTGAACTCAGGACCTTACGCTTGCCAAGCAGGCGCTTGTGCCCCTGAGCTATATCCCTGGCCCAGTTCTCTCTAGTTGCAGACAAGGAAACCGAGGCTCCCAGGGGCAGCGAGACTTGGCCAAAGTCACACAGCAGGTGGCAAAGGCCATTCTAAAAGCAGGACTGGCGGGTGTGAAGCCCTTTTCCCACTCTGTTTCTAGTAGATCATGTCAATTCCTGAAGCTTCCCCAGGCTGCCCCAGCTCTGCCCTTGGGCCCCTGGGCATAGCACTTTCCCCTGGGACTTTGCTCTCCAGGAATCCGGTGATGACATCCTGTGGAGACTCACTAAGCCCCTGGATCCGCCCCTCCCACCCCTGGAATCTGCTGCTACTGCACAGTGAGGGACTGACCTAACCAATCAGCACCTCCACACCACCAAGTGGGCTTCTGGGAAGTCAAGGACTCCTCCTCCAGCTCTTCCTGGGACACAGTCACAAGACCTACACATCCCAAGGTCTCAGGGTGTGGTCCGGGGCTGGGTACCTTGGCCATGTGCTGTGTGATCTCAGCCACGCCCCTGACTTCTATCAACCTCAGTTTCCACACCTATAAAATGGCTCCATAGCCACTAACAGGGACCAAAGGATCCCACGCAAACCCTACCTGCCAGGTAGGCCAAGAGGATGCCCATGACGACCATCAGCTGCACACAGGACCCGAGCAGTCCCCGGACTGCTGGGTAGGAAATTTCAGAGATATAGACCTGCCGACAATTAAGATAGGACTTTAGTGGGGTCCAGGTGTTCTTCAAACCAAAAGGCCTCTGCCTTTCTGAACTGAGGAGTCTCCCCTGGGGTCCCCACTAACTGTACCGCCCCGGGCCAGCAGAGCCCTCCCCGGGCTCCACGGTCAGGTGATCTGGGGCAGGTGTTCAAAGGGACTAAGGGCAACGAATGGGTGCTGTGCGTGTGTGAGTGGAGGCACAGAGCTTCCAACACTCACTCAACAGGCGAGGATGCCCATGAAAAGGGGCCCACCCTGAGGCAGTGGGTCTGGGGTACCGCCTAAGCTTTGCGATAACCACCTCCTGCAGCCACCCGGGCTGCTGCAAGGTGCCCTAAGGTAAGGTGCCCGGCTGTGAAATGCAGGGACTCCCACCTCAGCCATTGTGGGGGGCCACCACGCTGGCACCCACAGGTCCAGGTTATTCCATACCTTATGCCCATGACTAAGACACATGTGTGTTTTCCTGTTTTTTTTTAAAAAAAAAAAAAAAGCAAAAGCAAAATCCACAGCCTTTTCGTCCTAGCAGACACGGGTGGAATGAATGGTGGGCTGCCCCGTGAGGGCCCTAGAGCCTTCCTTCGATCTCCAGCAGGGTGACGGTTGACTGGGCAGTGGTCCATGCTCATGGCCAGCAGCAGTTCGCTGATCACCCAGTAATCCCAGCTGCCAGGGTCCAAGTCCTTCCCCAGACCCTGCAAGGGCCAGGGGCCTCGAGCGTCCTCTCTCCAGACCTCGAAGCCAGCCTTGCAACCAGCCGAGGAGCAAGGCCAGTCCCCAGCAGCTGAGTAAGCCGAGAGGATGGCAGCGAGGAGTGAAGGACAAGCCCGAAGGCCCGCCCCAGGGACAAACCAGAATAGGATTTTCCTAACTGTCCGGTGGTCGGCGACCTGATAGGGCGGACTTAAACCTGAACACCCCGTTTGTAGAGCCAAAAAGGCACCGCTCAGGGGGACAGTCGCGCTCACTAGCTGTGGCCCCTGCCTGGGCAAAGGTCAGTTCCATCTGTAGAGCGGAGTTAAGAACAGTGGCTCCTCCTGGGGCGTGCTGAGGGTTAGGCGATTGTGCTGGCACCCACGGGCCCCCAGCCCGCAGGACACTCACCGGGGCCACGAGCGAGGCGACGCCGCAGGCCAGGCCGGTGAGGAGGCGGCCCCCGAGCAGCATCCACAGATCCTGGGCCGCGGTGATGAGGGCAAAGCCGGCCACGAAGGGCGCGGTGCAGAGCAGGAGGCTGAGCTTGCGCCCAGCGCGGTCCACCAGCCAGCCGCCCAGTACGCCCCCCGCGGCGGCGCCCAGGGTCACGACGGCCTGGGCGGGGGCGAGCGCGGGCTCAGGTGCGGCTCGCGCCCGCCCCCCGCGCGCCTCCGAGGGGTGGGGTCCCGGGTGGCGGGGAGGGCGGGAAAAGGGGCGCTGGGCGCGGGGTCCCGGGCCGGCTGCGGGAGTCGCGGCTCACCCCGAACCAGGAGGCGGCGCTGTCGTCGAGGCGCGGGGCTGCGGGCGCAGAGCGCCGCAGGCTCGGGATGGCCGGGGAGCTGTAGCCGAGCGCGAAGCCGAAGCTGAGAGGGCCCAGCGAGGCGGCGAAGGCGGCGAGGAAGAGGAGGCGGCCGCGGGGAGCGCTGCGGGGACAGGGCCCAGCGTGAGCGGCGCCGCCGACGCGGAGAAGGAGGGCGAGGCCGGGTCCCGGGCTGCTTACCTGCCGCCTGGCCTCAGGAGCAGCGGGATCTCCTCGGGGTCGTCGGGCGTCATGTCGCCGGCCAACGATCACCCCGCCGGCTAGGACGCCTGAGTCGCCGCAGCTCCCGGACCGCGGCCTCCCGGGCCTCTTCGGGAGAGCCAGCCAATGAGCGGCGGGGGGCGGTGTTGAGACGCGGTCGGAAACGCCTCTAGTGCATCAGCAGCCAATGGGAACGCAAGGAGGGAGGGGCATGGCCGCTAGGACTCGCCCCATTCAAATCAGAGTAGACCAATGGAACCACAGCGCCGGTTGGCTATGTTCGCTTTGAACCGCCCCTAGGAAAGAGGTGTAGGGGCCTAGGAGGGCCGGAGTTTGTGTCGGGCCCGACAGTCCAATTGGAGTGCGGTGCGAGCCTGGAGGCGGGGCCAGAACGGAAGTGAGCTGGCCAAGGAGCGTGGAGGGCGGGGATTACTTTTTCCCCTGAAGCTCTGCCTCTTAATCTAGCTCCGGCCAATGAAGCGGGAGCGGAACAAAGGCGGAGCCCGTGGGTCCCGCCCAGATCTCTACTGCGGCTTGCGCTTGCAGTTTCTGCTCGGCGCTGAGTTCTGCTTCGCGTCTTGCTCTCAAGCTCTCCGCCTGCCCCAGCTCTACCTGCTGAGAGCTGCAGCGGGGAAGGTCCCCGAGAAGGCTGCCGTGGGTCATCTTCCTTTTCTCCTCTCCTCGGACACCGAGATAGACCCGGAACTTCCGCTGGGGCGCTGGGGCGCTGGGGCCCTGGGGCGAAGCGCGCCCCTAACCCTTCCCGCCCACCCGCCTCTGTGCTCCCAGGCAGCGGATGGCTGCCAAGCGCGGAGCACTGGAGCCCTAACAAGGGGCTCAGTATTATCTTCAGGAGAGTTGTGCGCATAAAGAACAAACACCAGGCGCTCGCGTGCTCATAGCAGCTTGACTCACGCCGTCACCTGACAGTGCTAGTAGGCACTTTTAATCCTGACCACAAGACTATCTTTAGAGACTTAGGCAACTGTTCTCTTTTCTACAACCGCTTGTACTTGTTGTAAATTCCACTGCTGCACTTCTTATCATGGTTTGTAATCTCCTGGGAGCTCCTTTGCCGTAGGCCCTTGCCGTTGCCTTGTGGGTTGAGGCCCCCAGGCAAACTGACCTGGACCTCTCACTGTAGCTGCTAGTCGAGCACCGGATGCTGTAGGAACCCTGCAGACCTGTTTCTGCCCTCTGGCTAGTGGTCTCTCTCCCCATGAACGTGCTCACATTGGTGCCAGAACAGCCTCCTAGGCCCCTTTTATAAGAAAAGCACCATCGGCCTGATGAGTAGGAGCCACCTCGTCCTAAGATCTGTGACTCTTGTCCAATCATAGTAGCTTCAGTGCTGCCCGTTTGGAAGAATGCTGTAAGTAGCCTTTAGTTTTTTCTATTTCAGCAAGAAACTAAATTACAAAAAAGCAAAAATATAGATATAAGCCAGGTATGTGGTACATTCCTGTAATCCCAGAACTCTGGGAGGCTGAGACAGGAGGATCATAAATTCCAGCCCAGCTTGGGCAATGTTACTTAGATTCTCAAAATTAAGATGAGGCAGGAGGATAGGGGGAAACAGACTGTGGTGTAGCTGAATGCACAGGCCCCAAGCCCCAGTAGTAAAAAAAAAAAAAAAAAAAAAAGGAATAAATCGAATCAAGGAGGAATAAATCGAATCCACAAAGGTGTTGGTGGGATTGAGATGTAGTGTATAGTTGATTTTGTGTCCCCTGTATGTGCAGAGGGCATAACAAGATGCCAAGAATGAAATGCTTAATGCTGCAAAGAATTAGAAGTCATATTTAGTTCATCAACGGCCCACCTGGTGCACCTAAGAACACTGTCCTTGCTACCCTTGTCTTATGCCACAGAGAACCTGGGCACCTGCAGCCCGGACTGGCCGTGCTGAGCTGTCCGCCTCACTGCAGTGTGCAAGCCGCGGAGGGAGGGCCCAGGTATGTGCAGAACCTGCCGGGTCCTCTGCACTGGCAGGGAAGATCTGCAACTCTTCTGAGCTGCAGTCACAGGGGACAAATTGGTGATGTAAGGCAAGCAGAGATACAAAGAAAAGTAAACTGCTGCCTAAAACCAAAGGTAAATTACCATTTTTTCCCCTACAATTTAAAATTTTTCCAAGTAATATCAATGAAACCGGATTTTCCCCTTTGATCGCTCCTGGCTGGAGGCTGGGATTTTACTGTGTTGTCCCTTTGGCCACATTTCTTCCGCCTTGCTTTGCGGAGGGAGCCGGGAAGGAGCTGGGGAAGGAAGGGTTTCCCTAAGAGGGCCAGGCAGACCCACACTAGAGCAGGGATTTGGCCGCATGGGGTAACAGTTCCTTGGTTGTATGATCTCAGAGTAACAGTTGTGCAGAAGGACATTCTCTGGATGTACTGCCTCAGGCCTGACCAAGCCGTGGTTGTTGGGTTCTGGAGGAAGTCTAGCAAAAGCACTGTTGGCCTGGGGACAACACTAGATGCTTTTCTGAGATAGGCCCCAAGGAAGATAACATCATGGCTTACTGGTCAAGTCTCACTGCTATGATAATAGAGTTGTATTGGCCTTGCAAAAAACGGTTGAGATCGCCCGAATTCTGGGGCCGCCTCTTTTGTTCTCAGTGAATAAAAGGTTACTGGAGATGGCGGTCGGGGCTTGAGTCCGGAAGGCTAATAGCCCCCTGAGCCCAGATACAAGGCTCTGGAGTTGTTCTTTTGAGGAGGAGACTAGTACATCCGCGGGCACCTCGTTCTGGGGACCTGTTCACCCTGGACAGGGATGGGTGAGTAATCCAACAACAGTAAAGCCAGATAAAATAATCTTAAGACTTTGTCAAATCCCTCTACCTTAGTATTTTTCAAGAGACATGAGACCAGATGTGGAGGCACATTCCTGTAATCCCTGCACTGGGGAGGCTGAGGCAGGAGGAGTGCTGTGAGTTTGAGGCCAGCTTGGGCTACAGAGGAGACTGTCTCAAAACAAAACAAAACAAAACAAAACAACCCAAGGAGGAAGTGGGGAGCTTCTGAGGTCTAACCACTTGGCATCCCCAGGCCTCCAGGCAGGTGCAGCTGGTTCCACTCACAGTGAACTCAAGTGGGCCAGTGGTGCAGAAAGAAAACTTACTTATAATAAAAAGCAATGGCTTTTCTTTATAAAAGAAACACGCTGTGTAACATAAAGCTGTAATGAAGAAGTAATTTCCAAGTATATAAAAATGTAAGAGAAAGTTGCAATAAGTAAGAATGAACATTTTTGATTTATTCAAAGTTTCAATCTAAAACCTCAATGAAATCTAACACCTTTATTACAAGGGGCTGAGGGGTCCTGAATGGAAGGAAACAAAGGTCAAGGAGGACGGCACCGGGCACTGGAGAGACCCAAACTGGCCGAGGGCGCGCAAGGTTTGGTCCAATAGATTTCTGACAGGCGGGACGCCGCGTGTTGTTGAGAAATGACGGCAGAACTGTTTACAGGGTATAAACCTCCATGTGAAAACTAAAGATGGCAAGTGAGACTTGGGCTCGGTTTACTTCAAGTCAATAATGTCTTCATCCGAAGAAGCTATGAGCTGAAACAGGGTGCCGCCCGGGGCCGGGACCGGGCTGCCCTCTCTGTCCATCACGGGGTCCTGCTCGGAGCCTGTCGAGTGCGGACAGCCCTCAGGGTTGGCTTCGGGCGCAGAAGGACTTTCCAAGGAGCCCGATGGGATCCTGGGAGAGAAAAGTCACAGTCAGGGGCCCCATGGGAACACGGGACTGGGCCCCTCTGAGCGCTGCTGTGCGCTGGCTCACCGCTGCCCCCGGCCTCTACCTGCAGTGTACATGGCATGCACGGGGCTCCCCAGCCCCTTCTCTGGCTGCATCAGTATCTTCTGGTTTTTTGGGGTTTTTTGTTTTGTTTTTTTTTGTTTTTCTTCCGGTACCAGGAATTGAACTCACAACCTTGCACTTGCCAGGCAGGCGCTTTGCCACTGAGCTAAATCCTCAGCCCTCTGGCTGCATCAGACGGCCCGAGCTCACGGACGTTTGGGAGGGTTTAGGCGGGTGAGGCACACAGAAGGTCCTGAGACATTATTTATTTAGCCTTCTGAAGTGCAACTTTACTTAGAGCCTTCCAGGGCCTAAGGGAAGGCTGATGCGAGCGCTAATTCTCTTGCCACAGCTGAGGCACAGGCCTGGCCCTGCTGACCCCTCCAGCCTCCCAGGCCACCCTGTTCCCTCACTTCCTCCAGCTCCTCGGGACTCTGTCTTGACAGCTGCTTAGTTAACTGGACCAGAATTGGCCTCACTTCTCAGGATGTTCACGACCTGACTAGCCCACTAGGGCCTGCTCTGGCCGCCTGACCTCACACGGTCCACTGAGCTCAGCGGCCCGCTCATCCTCTATCGTGTCTCCGCCCACACCATGCAAGGGCCTGTGGTCACAGGAGCTGCTTTCCTAGCTCATCACTCGCTCCATGCTCAGCACCAAGCCATTTCCTTCCAAAGCCTTCCTTGGTCCCTGTCAAGGCAGGCCCTCTACTTCCGAAATTTCTTTCTAGCGCTTGTCACTACTTAAAGTGATTTGCTCATCTGTTACAGGTTTTCTGTTGCTTCTCCACACTAGAATATGAAGTCCTGAGGGCAGGGGCTGTCACCCAGCACTGCAGTAAGGCAGGCGTGAGGCCACCTGTGTCAGCCAGGCTCGCGAGCCTGACATGTTTGATCCACCTTGCCCAGGTGTGGGGTAGATGGCTCGCTGTCCGAAGCATCACCTGCTGCCTGGGCTGAGTGCGCTGGCCTAAGTGCCCCTGAAGGCACCGGGACTCAGTCATCTCCAGACCCCAACCCTCAGCTCAGGGCTGGATCCTTCGTGAGTGTGTGATAAGCCAATGAAACCTGGACGCGTACTCGGGATCCTCCCCAAGAGGCACACCCGACGCTGCTGGGCACAGCAGAGAGCTGGGCGAGTCCGTGTGATTTCTGCGGCACTGACCTCCACGTAGAAGGCTTGCCGTCCTTTGGGCGCTGTCCAGTTCCCTGCGCTTCCACTAAGCAGTCGTGTTCGCACAAGTCCTCACCCATCTGGTGAGCCAAAAAAAGGCTCGAAACACTTTGATTGTATTCTTATATTTTTGTCGTTCTGTCGATGGAACCCAGGGCCCTGCACATGCTGGGCAAGTGCTCTACCCCTGAGCTACATCCCCGGCCCCTTCATATGCTTCAGTGAGGGTGTGCGTGGCTGCTGGTGGGGCTGCTCGTGTGTCCGGCTGTGCCTGGCAGCTGTGCCCTCCGGGAATCTCTGAGAGCA